GGCTGACCCTGCCCGTTGTAGCGCTCCTGGGTAGAGAGAGGGCCACGTTCCTTCAGTCTGAGTCCTAGTGTCAACTCCCATGCCCACTCCCCAGCCTGCTTCTCCAGGGGGTCCCAGGAGAGCAGGGCCCATCCAGGGCTTTCAGGAGTGGGCCCCGCCCAGGCACCGGGGCTAGGCACAGGGGAACTTAATGGGAACAGAGACTTCACGTTCATTAGCTGCTTTCCTAACACTCTCTTCCTCTTTTGTTTTAATATATTTTATTGTTTTTTTACAGAGAGGAAGGGAGAGGGATAGAGTTAGAAACATCGATGAGAGAGAAACATCGATCAGCTGCCTCCTGCAAACTCCCCACTGGGGATGTGCCTGCAACCAAGGTACATGCCCTTGACCGGAATCGAACCTGGGACCCTGGAGACTGCAGGCCGATGCTCTATCCGCTGAGCCAAACCGGTTAGGGCTTCCTCTTTTATTTTGGTGTTTAGTACTTTTCTTCCACTTGCCAACTGGAACTAATTTAACTGATCCTTGTTTATGTTTGACCACTAAGAGGGGAGAAAGGAGAGGGTGACCCTAGCCTAGCTGGTTTGGCTCCGTGGTTAGATCATCAACCTGTGGACAGAAGGGTTGCAAGTTCGATTCCAGGTCAAGGGCACGTGCCACAGTTGTGGGTTCCCCAGCCCTGGTAGGGGTGCATTCGGGAGACAACCAATCGATGTGTCTCTCTCACATCAATCTTTCTCTCTCTCTCTTTCCTCCCTCCTCCCACTCTCTAGAAATCAATGGGGAAAAAAAATCCTCAAATGAGGATTAAAAAAAGAAAGGAGAGGCTAGACACACTGTCAGAGTTGTCTTTCATGTATTCATACACTCATTCATTCCACAAATGTTCATTAGGCCCCTGGATTGTGACAGACACCAAGATGGGTGCTAAGGACATAAGGACACTAGGTTTGGGAGGAAAGAAATATGCAGAGATACTGGGGAAAGTAGTTTTTTTAAAAATAACCATCTCTCAAAGGAACAAAAATAAAATTATAATCAAGAAAACAAATTTAAAAAGAAATTAAAAGGAAAAAATAAAACAAGTTAAATCTTTAAAAAACTAGTATTAACTACACAAAAAAAGTCTGGATTGTGTAAATTATGAAATATAGTAATTGTCACGTGAGTTTACAGTATTGTTTTCAAAATGCTCAAACTCTTTTGAGCTCTACATTGAAATGAAGGATCACAAGTGACGATTTGAACAGGTGCTGTTTAGCCAAAACTTGCTAGAGAGAAAATTATTCTTAGAGAGGACAACAGGCCCCAAACTTGCAGACACAGGGACATAAAAACCAAAGGGGCTCACAGCCTAGGTGGAGACTGATCCCCATGGAGCAATGTTAGTTTGAGAACAGAGAGGTGCACAAAGGGCTTAGGGGACCCCCGATAATTGGGGCAGCTGGAGAGTTGGAGGTGTCAGGGCACGAACCACAGCACAGGCTGCCGAGTCCTGGCAGATGAACTAAAGTCAGCCAGCCTAAGGCAGTGGGAAAAGATGTTCCAAATAGAAGACATCACATGTGCAAACACAGCCAGCGGGGGAAAATTAGAATGTGGTCCAAGATCTACAGATGGTCTGGCTGGAGATTGGGAGTTGGGGAGGGTTAAGGAAGGACAAAAAGTAAGTTTCTCAGTCTTGTAAGTAAAAAGAGGCTTAGACTTTATCCTATAAAGAACAGAGTACCTTCAAAAGATGTTAAGCAAGAAAGTGATATGGCTGAGGTGATTTCTAAAAGTGGCAGAAGGGAGAATAGATTGTAAAAGGGAAGAGACAAACAATTTAAGAAACCATTACTTAGGAACACAATTTCGGTTGCCACCTGAATCTCTATATTCCAGGTTGGAGCAACTTTTGCTCAAATAAATGCTTTTTTTATAATATTAAAAAAAAAACTAGCCATTTTTGCTCAGTGGATAGAGCATTGGCCTGGGGACTGAAAGATCCTGGGTTCGATTCCGGTCAAGGGCATGTACCTTGGTTGTGGGCACAACCCCAGTAGGGGGTGTGCAGGAGGCAGCTGATCGATGTTTCTCTCTCTCATCGATGTTTCTAACTATCCCTCTCCCTTCCTCTCTGTAAGAAATCAATAAAATACATTTTTTAAAAAGAAAGAAAAGAAAAGAAAGAAAAAACACTAATACTGAGGAAGGTGCAAACACCTTGTTATAATTTGGGGGAAGAGAGAAAAATATTCATACTCAAAAGTGCATAGAATTTGGCTCGCTCTTTGTTCAATTTCCAATTGGGTCAATGTAATCAGTCACTAAAGGGTAGATCCTGACAACAGTAGTTGCCTCCAAGGTGGGGAATGGAAAGTTGATTTTCAAGGAAAGGAGATTTTTTTAATTTATTTTTTTCCTTTCACTTAGTGATTTTAGAGAGAGAAAGGGGGAGAGAGAAAAACATCGATTTGTTCTATTTATTTATGCATTCATTGACTGCTTCTTTTTTAAAATATGTTTTTTATTGATTTTTAGAGAGAGTGGAATGGAGAGGGAAAGCGAGAGAGAGCGAGAGAGAGAGAGAGAGAGAGAGTCACATCAATCAGCTGCCTCCTGCTCTGCAGCCCCCTACTGGGGATTGAGCCACAACCCAGGCATGTGCCCTGACTGGGAATCAAACCAGTGGCCTTTTGGTGCGGGGGCAATGCTCACCAACTGAGCCACACCAGCCAGGGCTCAGTAGTTGCTTCTTGTATGTGTCCTGATGGGAAATTGAACCCACAACCTTGATCTATCAGGATGACACTCTAACCAACTGAGCTATCCGGTCAGAGCCAAAGAGACTTTTTTTTCTGTATACCCTGTTACACACCTTCAATTGTGTATTTTAGACATATATTACCTGACTACAAAAGAGGTTATTTCACAACACAGGAAAATATGTTATGGAGAATGTACCTGCCACCCATTTCTCTCCCCACACACCTTCCCAGGAAAAACCTCAAACCTCTTTAATCGGAAAGGATTACAAAATCAGAAAGTCAACAGGCTTGGGCCCAAGGCAATGAATTTTTGGCTGTTGTCCCTGCTGGCCCCTGAGCTTCTTGGTGTTTATGTTCCTAGTGACCTAGTGCCAACCTCTGGAAGCTTCGGTGGAGATGATTGGAATTCAGAGCTGAGGGAGGGAGAGGTGGGATCTTATATCCTTTTGGTTGCATGTTGGACTGTCTGGTTCCATTACCAGAATCCTAATACTGACTTGTGCCGGGCGGTTCCCCTGCTATGTGCCAAAGGAAAGGAAGCTGCCAGGAAAATGCCAGGGGGATGGAGAAGCTGGGCTGACACAGAGGGCAGGCGCATTTCCTTACCTTGCAGTAGATTTGTGAGCAGAAAGGGCCCGATATAATTGGTGGCAAAGGTGAGATCAAGGCCCTCTGAGGTTAGTGTCCTGGGGATTCCTGGGAGGAAATGAAAACACATGAAGTGGATGATGGAGCGAATATACTGAGGGAGGCAGAGTCTAGGGCGATGTATTGGGGTTCAGTAGAAATGCCCTAGGAGCATGTATGTGCAGAGATGGGGCAATTAAATGTGAGGCTATAACTGAGGCGGGCTCTCTAGGGCTGTGTGAGAGTCAGGAGTGTTTCCGCAGGGCACACAGGTGAGGCTCTGGGGATGCCTGTTTTGGAAGGAGCCTCCTGAAATGTGTTTGGGGGAAGCACGTCAGGGCACATACCACAGACTGCAGCGTTGTTAACCAGCAGGTGTATCTCAGGACACTCTTGCAGGAGCCACCGGGCAAAGCTCCGGATGGAGGCCATGGAGCTCAGGTCCACCTCCCCAAGCAGAAGGCTGGCATCCTTCGTGGCTGCTTGGATCTCAGCCAGGGCTCGCTGTCCACGCTCTCGGCTACGGCAAGCAAGGACCACCCGAGCCCCACGGCGGGCCAGCTCCTGGGACACAGCCTTTCCGATACCTGGATGGGGGGGTGGGGGGCAGCTTCAGAGCAGGCTAGTCTGGGAAGTGACTAGAGGATAAAGGAGCAAGGGGGAGGGACAGAGGTGTTGACAATGGGTGCTGCTTCTCCCCCCTGCCCTCCCGGGGAAGGCTGTTGGGGCTGAGGACCCTCGTGAGGTGACAGGGTGGAAGGAGCACTCACCGCTGTTGGCCCCAGTCACCACGGCCGTCTTCCCGGTGAGATCTGTGGGGCAGTGCTGCAGGTCCCAGAGCTGAGTCTGATGCCAGAGCCGCACACTCAGTCTGAGCAGGAAGACCAGAATGAGGAGGACAGAGCCAGGACCCCAGGTCTGGGTGCTGAGTAGAGACCACAGTGGCATAGCAGGTGACTGGCCTACCATCCAGGGTGGGAAGAGGATTGGAGAGAGCTGGTCAGTGCTGAGTGGGCAGCAATAAGGCTGGCGTGGAGCCCAAGATGCAAAATTTAAGGGGGCGAGGCCACATTTGCTCAAGCAACCCATCTGAACCTGAACCCGAGAGAGAGTTCGTCCTTATAAATTGTGTGACCTGAGCCCTTGATTGCCTCACCTCCAATCAAAAATTAACAGAAGGGCTTTCCCTGAGCCCTAAACCCTGCCAAGGCTCAAATCTGTCTCTGAGCCAAGCTTGGATTTGCATCTAAAGTGAATTGACAGAGATCTAGGGACGAGGGAAGCAAGATATCAAATTCCTCATGTCTGGAATCACTTTATGCCCAAGCGGGGCCATTCCCTTGCTCCCCAGCTGATAGGGAACTGAGTTCTCTCAGCTGAGGTAGGCCCCACTTGCAGCCCTTACATCCATCTGCTCTTTCGTCAGGAGAGAATGGTTCTCCAGAATTCTGCTGGAGAGTAATCTTGGCCCTGAAGCAGGGTCTCCTATGGGTGCAAATGGGTTTATTTCCTGGACCCAGTGTTCTATCTTCTTCTGGGCCTGCCAGGACCACTGCTCCTCTCCAGCTCCACGAGAATACACATCTTTGGAAGAAACTGACAGAGATACCAGGCCAATTCTTAAGGCAACTCAGGTGTTTATTTTTGGCAAGCAGACGGAAGGAAGACAGGATTCCCGCCGGCTGAGGTTCAGGGCTCAGAATGGGGCAGGATCTTGGAGGGGAGCGACCACACTTTGGAGGTTGAGTTCTTCATTAGCTGTGCCCTGGTCACCTGGGCTTCTGTCTGGATGGGGTGCAACTCAATGGGAGGAGAGGTACAGACTTTTTTGGCCTCCTGCCAGGGTGGGCCAGACCTGAGCAGCGCCTGTGTGGTTGGGTTCCACATGCTCACACCAGGAGCCAGCTTCAAGGCTTCCGGCAGCAACACTGGCTGCCACATCACCTGGGACGTGGGCTTGAGGATTTGGGGTTCAAGGTAAGACCACCTGTGAGGATCCTGGCCCTCCTGGTCCCGGCGGCCCTGCCGAGGTACGTGGCTGCGGCCGGCCCACAGCTCTTCCAGCAACTCCGCCTCCCTTTCCCAGCCCCTCGGCCACTTGGCACCTGGCCACGTGCTGGGGCTGGGGCTGCGGCTGTAGGCCATTTGGGAGACCTTCAGGTGCCTTTCAGGAAAGCGGCTCTCTGGGCCCTGTAAGAGCCCCTTTAACTGGGAGCATGGTGATGATGGGCCTAAGCTTAAAGGGGGAAGTTGGGAGCCGGGGCG